GGAAGAAATAGGGGCATCCAAGTTTGGTGAAAGTAGGAACTGGGATGGGGACAGGGTTGGGAGCTGGGGAGGGGGAAGGGTGTGAGGTTGTTGCTTTTTTTTTTGTGCCTGTGTGAAACATCCTGAACCAGGGTATTTGGACAGGTTAGCAGAGACAGCACCTGAGATAGTAGGTCAGCCCCTTCCCTTCCTTTGTTTCGATACATTCTCATCTGAGAGTCCACGCAAGCAAAGGAAAATAAAGTGTGCCCACAGGGAATTGGCAGCTAGAGCTTGGCTGATGGAATGGAACATGGTAGCATGCTAGGCCCTGAGTTGAGGAAGACAGGAAGGCAGGGAGCCTAGGAGAGGAGCCATGGGCTCCATTGGGAGATGGCTGGCTGGGCCTGATGGCTCTCCAGGGTGGAGGTTCTGTTGCTAATAAGTAAGTAGATGTGGGGAGAGGTGGGGAGAAAGGATGGTGAATGAATAGCATTTGGTACACTGTGGGCAGGGAGGCTCTTCTTAATCAAGCTTTGGGCTTACTGCCTACCAGGTAACACTTTCACTGCTGTGAAACCTTGGGGTGGAAGACTGGGAGTGAGGAGGTAAGCAAGAGATTAAGCTGAAAGGGAGAACAGCTGAAGAGGCCAGGACCCTGGGCAGCACTGAGAGATGACAGACTTGTTAGATGGGCCATGAGAACCAGAGCTTGAGTGAGGATCCAAACAAAACTTCAAGTAAGGGGCTACAGTATCGTAGAACTGAGGGTATAGGCTTTGGTTGGGACCCATTCCCAAATCTTCAGCTTTTTGCACTGGCCCTGACCAGATAGACCTCCCTAATGCGAATGCTGCTAATTTGCTCCCAGTGGGATATAGAGGAAAAACAGCTATGGAAAAGGCCTTGGTAATAACTGTTTAGCTCTTTGATAGTAAGGAAGGGTGGTGGAGACAAAATCCTTGGGACTTTCTTTCCAACTCAGAGCCTTGCCCTTCCTTGTGGTAGGAGTATTTAATCAAGTAGTAGAGTTTGACAACCCCCCCCCCCAAAACACATGGGTAGGCGTGAGCACAACGCACGTACACACGCACACACACACTCTCTCTCACTCTCTCTCTCTCTCTCTTAGGGGTTGTGGGATGCTTCTCTGTATTTTCCTCCTAGTTTTCTGTGCCTGAGAAGAGAATGTCCCAACTATTAGCTATTATTATTATTTCTGGCTACAGGACAGCTTGGTATTGGGGATTGAAAGAGATGAGGCAAATCTTGTGGGGTTTGGGAAGAAAATTTGTGACCTCTCTATGGCTAGAATAGTAGTAGGGAATTAGGTCTAGACTGTAGGAAATAAATACTTAGGCCATTACCCTAGTGGCTCTGCCATTTGTGTGTGTGGTATACTTAAGGGGTGTGGGGCCTGTAGTGATCCTGCAGAGGTCCTTCTGTGCCTACTTCATTTTGTTTGGCTATAGAGAAGTGGATAAATAGATGCTATGTATACGTACTATCAACTCGCTATAGTGAGAGGTGAACGTGGTCAGAGGATGAGGCAATCTGTCCCATTATTTTCATAGGAACCCCAAATACAGTAGGAAAAAGCAACAAAAGGAAAAAGTGTATGCTCAGTGCAGGTCCTCACATACTACAGGATAGGTAGTATAAGGAGAGTGTGTGTGTGTGTGTGTGTGTGTATGTGTGTGTTGGGGAGAGGCAGGGCTGGGATTGTTCCTAAGGCCTTATTCCCTTGTGGTAGCTAAACGTCTCTTCATCTTAGCTCCACTGGATATTGGGAGAGGAGAAAGGGAAGAGAGCCTTGTTTATCTTAGGTGAATATTCTGGGCTTTTGGAAAATAGAGGTAGGTGCCAGGGGAAAGCCTGGGTAGTTCTTGGGTTGCTAGTGAAGGGCCAAGTACCAGAAAGAGGGTGGGAGTTGGCAGCTCCTGACCCTAAAAAAACCTAACAAAAACAAATAAAAAACACGAAGAACTAAATTGAGGAAACGAGTGGCTATTCTGAGAGCTAAGTGCTGGGGGGTGGGGAGAGGGAGAGGAAGCAAGGGAGAGAGATTAGGCAGAAAGAACCAAAGCTCCTAAACTTTGGAGTCATTTGGATCCAGCAGGAGGTGCTGCAGGGGCTCGGAGGAGTCCAGGCATCTTCTGTGGGGAAGGGGAGGACTGTGAAATGTTCTTCCCCACCACAGTCCCCCCAGCAGAGCCCCCTGACTATCTGCTTTTTAGACTGTAGTTCTTTACAATTTAGGCAAATTGGAGCTGGGAGTCCCTGTGAGGCCAGACGGCTGTTGAGCTGTGGCTTCATTCCAGAGGCAGTAATCTCAGGAGAGGGTCAGGCAGGGAGGGGAGGAGGAGGGAAGGAGGGGTCGTGTATAGCTCAGTCCTGACATACATCCATGCTTAGAGAACCCTCAAGGACAACCGATATGAAGTGAAGGAAGAGACAGGGATGAAAGTGGGCCACGTTGCAACAAGGTCCTTCCCGGGCCTCCAGGCTGGGGTTCAGGTTATTGTCACGAGTCGGAGCTGGCGGGAGAGAAGGGAGTGGTGGTGCTGGAAGGATTATGGGGAGCAGGCTCAGCAGCAGATAATTGGATAATGGCTGAAGCAAGGATCAGGACTGGGGGATTTACTGGCAAAGGGAAAATGGCACATGAAGAGTCAGTGTATAGGAATTTTCTCTTGTTACTTCCCTCTTGCTCATCTCGGGATGCTTGGTGGCTCTGTCCCTGTTACCTCTTTACCTTATCCATGTCAGACTCTCGCTGAGTGCGCAGCCCCTAGCACTGGCGAGATGCCAGAGTGGGAAGCATTGCCAGAGCTTGGCTATTGTTAGCCTTCTGGATTGGTGATACATGAAAACAATTTGCTTCAAGGAATGAATATAAGGACCCAGAGTGAGGAGGGCACACGAAGAAGTGCTAGATGCAGAGGTGGAGGACCAGTGTTCAAATCCTAATCCAAATATTCACCTCTCTGGGACTTATTTTCCTGGCTGTAAAATAAGAGGGTTAAAAAAAAAACCCAACAACTTCGAAGGCCCCTTCCTTCTCTAAATCTATGATACTCCTATGAAATTTTGGCTCTACTTCCTTAGGGGATGGTCCCAAGAATACATTTACCTGGTTGGTTTCCCCTTTAGAGAAGGGAAAGGAAGAAATCCCTTGGGGCCCCAAGGATCACAGTGTAGAAAGTGGGGGCTACCATGGAGGATTTTTGCATTGGGAGGGCCCCTGAACCATTCTTGGGGAGAGTGTTGGGGGTGCAGGGAAGGAATGAAGGCTTGAGCTCCTGCCATAGCGTCTTTAGGTTATGGTGTGTGTGCGTAAATTAACTTTTATGAGATGTGGAGAAGAGGATCACAGAAGGGACCTTAGAAATCATCGAGGCTAAGCCCCTTCATTTGACAGATATTAGTGACTTAAGCCTAGAAATGTTAAATGACTTGCCTAAGATGTCACAGCTGAGTAGCAGAGCTAGAAGTCAAGTTCAGGTCCTCTGACTCCAGATTCTGTGCCAAAAGGCCTCAAAGCCAGGAAGACTTGGGTTCAAATTCCAACTTTGACACCGACTGACTGTATGACCCTAGGCTAATCACCTAAGTTTTTTAATTGGGTACATTATATGCAACACTCTATATCCATAAACTACCCCCTATTCTAAAAAAGGATGGAGGGGTATTTTCTCATTTCTTCTAAAGGATGGGGTGGGGCAAGATTGGTTGGTTGTTATAACTGGATAATATTTATCTTTGTTTTATTATTGTTTTTATTTACATGGTTGTAGTCAGTAAGTGGCCAAAAGATATGAATAAACAAAAGAATTTCAAACTGTTAACCATATGAAAGACTGTTCCAAATGACTAATTAGAGAGATGTCAAATTAATACAATTCTGAAGTTTGACTTTGCTAACACCAAATTGGCAGAGTTGAAATGAGATGGAAACAGTCAATGCTGGGGAGAAGACATACAAATACACTGTTGAAATGATCCATTCTGGAAAACAATTTGGAATTATACATTACATATATATGTATATGTATATGATCCAGAAATCCCAAAGCGGGCATATGCTTCAAGGAGGCCAAAGACACAAAGGTTGATTTATACTCCAATGTTTCTAACAGCTCTTTTTGTGGTAGCACATAGCTACCTGGAAATAAAGTAGGTGTCCATTGATAGAGGAATGGCCAAACATCCTCTGAAGTCTGGGGAGGGCAGGTGACTTGTCCTCAGTCACCAAACAAATAGCAAAGCCAGCATTCAAATACATAGCTTGCTCTTTTTTTTTCTTTTAACCAACAGCCACTAGTTCATTTCAAAAGTTTTTCCATTAAAAAGTGTAACTTTGCTAAATTTTATTTCTTTTTTTGGTAAAAGAAATGTTAAAAAAAGACAAAAACACTTAACTATGCACATGATGTGACCAGATCCTCTTGAAGTATTCCTTAGTAGAAACTCTTTGTTTTTGAGTCTTGGTGTGGTCAGAATTGACTATTACCCCCCCCTGCTTGGAATTTTCTTGTGAGTTCTTGTGACTATTATTAAGGCTTTGTTGAATGACGTTAGTGTTAACACACTGTCCAAAGTACCACAATAATGTCTAAAAGGAGACAACACTGGAGAGTTCTGTATTATAGTTCTTTTTCTAAATCCAGGACTCTTGTGATTTGTTCTTTTTTTTTTCTTACTTTTTGGTGAGGCAATTGGGGTTAAGTGACTTGCCCAGGGTCACATAGCTAGTAAGTGTCAAGTGTCTGAAGTCTGATTTTAATTCAGGTCCTCCTGACTCCGAGGCTGGAGCTTTATTCACTGTACCACATAGCTGCCCTGTGTAGTTTTTTTGTCCTTCATTTTTTTTTTTTGCTTAAACCTAGGATTCTTGAGGCCATCTGTAGCTGGAGGAAGGAGAGTCAGAAAGGATGGTGGGTTAAGAGCAGTCTGCTTCTCACCTCCACTTGTGCATTCTTCTCTAAAGAGTTCTTTGCTTCTTGTTTTTTTTTTCTCAGCTCAGTACCAACGAGTCTCCAAAAGCCAACCAGGCATCCAGTCCAGAAGAAAAGGGTAAGTAGGATTGGACTGAGCAGTTTGTAGAACAGTGGTATCAAAAGAATGTATATTGTTAGTGTAGAAACTCCTGAAAACAGCTGGGCACAGCATCCTAGAATGGGTTAGGATCGGGATCTGGCAACACCAGTGAATCACTGGTCTGCACCAAATATGAGCAGGGCTTTGGATGAGCAAATAGACTTTCTAGGCCAGAGCAACTACTCCTAAATTTTCTTTCTCAAGCTGTGTTCACAAGGCCCAAGGGAGGAAACTTCTTTACATTTTAACTTTGAACACTCGTTTTGGGATTAAATCAGGGATGGAGCCAAAACTGTAGAGAGGAATAGACTGTTGAACTCCTGCCTCATCCATCAGTGCAGGAACTTAAAGGGACCTGTCAGAAGACAAGGATGGTGCTTTTGGCCTTGTAGAAAGTAAGAGTCTGTAATGTCTTGAGGTAGAGAGGCTCCTCCAGGAACCATGGACAATCTCCAACCCAAGTACCTTGTTTAAATTCATAAAGTAGTATCACTTAGGAAACTCTAGGCCTGGGAGGGGTAGGGAACCCCGGAGCCCAGAAAAATAGGGGATTTTAATGATCTGTTGGTTTCTGGAAGGGAAAAGGAAATGGCACTGGTAAACTCACCCAAGGGTCCTCCTTACTGTCCGCAGAGAAAACAGATGCCAAGAAGGGTGAGGAAGAAGAAATTGACATTGACCTGACTGCGCCCGAGACAGAGAAAGCCGCACTTGCTATTCAGGGCAAGTTCCGCCGGTTCCAGAAAAGGAAAAAAGATCCCAGCTCCTGAGCCACCAGCCTGAGCCTTTGTCCTAGCTCCCCTTTCCCCTTGTACCGTTTTCCATAGGCCCTGATTCTTCTGTATTCTTCTGTTCCTATTTTCTCCACCCTGTCCCTGGGGCAGTATCAACCCTCAGAATTGCCCCTGCCTCAGCCATCAGGGTGGCATAGCTATAAGGGACTGGGGGAAGTAAAAGAATCCAGTTAACAGCCACTTAGACCTAAGAGTGAGCCAATCTGCCCCTGGAGATAGTGATCCCCCCTGCTTGGTGTCTAGGTCTTACGTCAGAGACTAGCAGTGGCTCTGCTGGGAAACAACAGCCTGGAGACTGAGTAACGGACCCCCCTTGTCTGCAGGGATTGTCACCGTCAACCCAGCAGAAGAGATTGACATTGATTTGATGGCACCTGAGACAGAGAGAGAGCTGCAATTGCCATCCAGAACAGGTTTCGGGGCTACCAGAAAAAAAAAATTCCTCCTAAGCTACCAGCCCTGCCTTTGTCTATTACCACTTCCTCTACAGACCCTGAGCCCATGCATCCTGGTTTCTCTCTCCTGCTAACCTATCTGTGAGGAATAATTGTAAACCCTTGTAATGTCCCCTGTCCCCATCATCATAGTAGCAAAGCTCTAAGGAGCCTGAGGAAGCCAATCTCTCCTGCGTGAATAGAGCTCCATGGCAAGGTCTCGTGCCAGGGACTAGTAGCGGCTCACAAGGAGTCAGGACAGGAGATAATAGACCCTTGGGCAGTTGAAGCAGAGCCAGGGATTCAGAGAAGGGTGTTTGGGGGAGAGGTGCACACTTTTCCTTTCTGTCACATGCTAAGTTTAGAATGTAGGTATCATGTATCATCTTACAGCTCTCTATGTCCCTATTCCCAGTTTCCCTTTATGAGCTGAGCCACAGCAGAGACTGGAGCCTCCCCTTTCCACATCCCCACTTCAGACTCAAGAGGTTCTCACACTAGTGCATGCTGGGTAGATTAGAATTTCTGGGGAGGAAGACTGGGAGTAGAAGAGGCAAAGAATTTTCTCCCATTTCCCACTACCTCTCCCACCTTTCCACTCTTCTAAGGCCAGGAAAATGAGAAGGGAGTTCAAGCAGCTCAAAGATGAGGGGCAGGCAGGAAAATTGGGACTGGGACGGATTGAGGGTATAAGGATGTTGAGAGGCAGGAATGAAAGAGAAGCAATGGAGGCTTCCTGAAGCCTTGAGGTAATGCCCAGGTGAGTGCCCTCTATGAAAACTATCCTTGGGCTCTGACTAGCCTCCCTGCTGGTATGCCCTCCCAATAGTGGCATCTTCACCTTTCCCCCAATCTCCACCCGCCCCACTGTAGAGGCAGGGCAGAAATGAACAGTCCTTCTCCCAAGATTTTAGCATGTTTAATAAAAACCTCAAGTGAGTTTGTTTCTGTCTCTACTTTATCTGGGGGGTACAGTATGGAATTTGGGCCATGATGGCCACAGGGTGGCCTTGGGTATAGAGTGTTGCTGTCTACAAGGAATCCAAGTGAGTGGTTTCCCATTGCTGAACACCCAAATGTGGATTTTGATAGGAAGGCAAAATTGCTTCATTAGTTTTCAACGAGACTCTAATTCTCCTGTAAATCTCCTCCCACCCCTGCCATCCCACCCACCAACCTTGCCCTCACCTTGATTAACCTCTCAAGTTTCTTTGTCTGCTACTGTCACTTCCCCCGCCAGGCACCTGCTTTGCTCTCCCATCCCATTCCCTGCCTCCTCCAAGCTCAGAAGTTAGTGCATACTCCTCTCTGAGAACAAACCTCCAATGAATTGTACCCCTACTCCTCCTCCCTTGTTATTTTAAATTGAAGGGGGGGAATGACATTACCAGGGGGTCAGAGGCAAAGGGAAGTCACACTGAAAATTTATTAGGACTCTATATAACAAAATTATAATAGCCCTCAATTCAGCTTATAGTTGCTGCTTAATGATACACAGTGTGAAAAATCCAAAGCCCTGTTTAAGGCACCCTGCTTCAGGGAAGCCTGGCTCAGAGCCAAGCTGATCATTCCATTCTCCTGATTGGTGATAGGAGTGAGTGGTCCTGGCTGCTGTGATTAGCCTATGTGTTAGAGATTGGCTTTTTCCCCTTAACTAGGCCTGGTCCTCCTGGGATTGAGTCCAAACAGCATCCTTTATTGGGTCCTCAATTAGGGGCTAGGAAAGCCCCACATCCTACCATGTAGACAGATGGAAATAGGAATGGAGAGAGAGGAGAGGTTCTACAGTCCATACCCGAAGTTTACCTATATATCCTAGCACCATAACTTCAGGATAGCGCCAAGTTTCAGAACCACCAAATGGCTGATTCCTTCAGGTGCTGCCCGGGAACAAAAGGCTGTAACAGATCTAGGGGGACTCGGCTGCTTGGGGCTCTGCCCTACGTCTCTTCTTTGTGTGCTGCTGAAAGTGCCATGCTTGTTGTTGGCCCTAACATTCTTCCTAAGGGTGTGTGTGGCACCCCAAGCTCCATCTGAGGCTTGGAGGGCAAAGGGGTAAAGGGAGTACCACTCGCTCCTGGCATTCTAGACAGAAGGATGAAAGACATGTCCTTGACATACCTGCCTCCTTCCTATTTGCCTTATGGTCATTTCAGTGCTCCCTTCAATTATTCCCTGTCATGCCTGAAGTATGGTAAAGCCTGTTACTGACACTTTAGGCCAGGCGGGAGACAGATATTAGTTGCTGATGTGACTTTTTGGGCTTGGAAGTGAAGATAGTATCCCTGTTGTTGTTGTGAGGTTTGGGGGTTTTTTTTGCTTTTTTTTCCCTGCTGTGGTATCTCCTGTTTCTGGTCCAGCTGACAGGATATGGAGGCTGGAGGCTGGTTATTCCTAAATGTCCCATTCAGGCACTGAAATAAAAGTGATGCTCCCTGCCTTCTGGAGGCCTCCTTCTGCAAGCACTATTGCCTAGAGCATGTTTGCTTGTTTGTTCTTTTTTTTTTTTTTTTTGCTAGGCAATGGGGTTAACTGACTTGTCCAGGGTCACACAGCTAGTAAGTGTCAAGTGTCTGAGGCCAGATTTGAACTCAAGTCCTCCTAATTTCAGGGCTGGTGGTGCTCTAACTACTTCGCCACCTAGCTGTCTTTTTTTTTTTTTTGGTGAGGCAATTGAGGTTAAGTGACTTGCCCAGAGTCACACAGCAGCTTGTTTGTTCTTTACCTCGCTGCTCAGGGACACCCTGCCAGAGTTATCTGTCCTAGGGATCATTTTCAGTTGCTTTTGGAAACCCCTAAGTGTAGGTCCTTACCTTGTTCCTTTTTGTCAAGAGGGGCAAGGGTGGCTGCTGAGGTTTTTTTTTTCCTTCATCTTTAATGATTACTCCTACTGTTGGCCAAGGAGGCATTCCACCTTTCCTTTAATCACTGGTAGCTCCTGCTGTCGGACTCAAGGCTATGACTCCTTTCTCTGCCCCACTGGTAGATCCTGCTGTGAGCCGTGTGGCCTTGGGGAAATCATCTTCCAGGTTCTCAGGCTCCAGGTGGTGGGTTTATCAAGAGCTGTAAGATACTCAACACATTGGTGCTGTCCCAGGTAGGAGATTTGGCAAAAGAGATAGGTCTGCCATATGTGGCAACAGCATTAGCATTTGTTGGGATTCTTGGATGAAAACAGCGTTACGCACTCGCACAAAAACTGCAGCTGCCTCTTCAGGTGCTCTCCAGGTACACAGATGGCAACATCACAGTCGTGACACATACGAGGAGGGGCTGAGGCACAAGGCTATCATGTGTGCCATGCATATGTGCCCAAAGTCTATTTTGGCTGGCAAAACTCTGAGAGCAAAGTTGGTGGTTGTGAAGGGTAGTTTTACAAGCAAAAGCACAGGATGAGGGCAGTAGAGACAGGTGTATGGATATCCTCCTGATGGAGCATGTTAATTCTTGGTCACATTGGAGGGGGGTCAATGAAACTGCATCCACAGGTATAGCAAACATAAAAGTATCCTGAGCCATTTGTATCTTTGCACATTGCTGTAGTTACTGGATTCATGATTACAGGGAAGACAAAGGGACATGTAGAGTGACTTGCTGGGACTCCGTTTTTTGGGCTGATTGGATCTTCTTTCTAGAGTCTGCTGAAGAGGCTTGTCCTTCTCTTGGCCCCCACCTTGCTATAAAGCTACTTTCTTCCTCTCCTTCTACCTCCTGGGACTCTATCTCTACTGCTTCTGCCACTGGCACCCAACACTTTCTTGGGCATCCTCTACAGAGGTGGCCACTTCTGTTCCCCTCTTGGTCTTTTTTCTTGGTCCTTCAAGCCCTTCTCTAATGTGCTTTCTTTCTGAGGCCTCTTCTGGGACTGCCCTCTATGGAATGCCCTCTATGCCCTCTATGCCTCCTCCTGACCACCATCCCCTTCCTCCTCTGGCTAGTCCTCAGCTGATCCGCTTTCTGACCAGTTGGCTTCATCTTCTCCTCATCCTTGTTACCAAATCTGTAGCACATAGGCTATGTCCTACTCCAGAAATGAAAGATTTGAGGATGGTAGGGACCAGGCTCCAGTTTTCTGAAGCAAGAAGAATCAGGCTTGGTTGGATGGAGCCAGAGTAATGCTTTTTGTTTGTCTTGTCGCTGGAGTGGTCACTATAAAAGTAGAGGAAGATTCTTCGTGTGCCACATAGACAGCCAAACAGAGCCTCCCTCACCATATCCCTAGGCTCCCTGGTCTGTGAGTCCCTATCCCTCTCTTGGACTGACTAGTCTCCTCCCCAGTCCCAAGGAATTCTTACCATTCCCAACAACCCAAATGACCCAAAGTCTCTCCCCTTTTTCCTTAGTCTGGGTGGTGATAGAGACTTGAGGTAGGTGAGCTGCTAACAGATGTAGCGTCTGGGTTCCCAGTCATTTGCTCCAGCGCCATGACATCACTGATCTACCCTGCCTACCACTCTTTTGCCACTTATCAGAGCTGGGCTTGGACCCACAATTATTGGCTGAGTCCAAGGTATAACTGATTTAGCCTTTGGTCGCCTTCAGGGAGTGGGTATAATTAGTGGAAGTACAACCAGTTTGGCTCTCATTTCTTCACTGAATGAGAATTAAGTGCCTACTATGAATGCACAAGGTTATTCTACTAGTTCTTTTTTTTCTTTTCTTTTCTTTTGCAGCAGTGGGGTTGAGTGACTT